CCCAGACTCCCAGCCAGCCACGCGTGGCGTGGGGAATTCTGGGAGTTGAAGTCCGCACGTCTTAAAATGGCTGAGGTTGAGAAACCCTGCTCTAAACCCACCTCTCTCTAAACTTTCAGGAATATGCAGCTGTCTGTTTCGCCAACTCAGGAAATTCCCACGATGTGAACATTGTCGTGTTTAATTTCCCAAATGAAATGAAAAATGAGGCCACGGCAGAAGGCAGATACCTTCCTTGTACCTGCATTCCTGCAACAAGATGAGAGAGCAAAGACTAGACTGGCCTCAAGCAGAGGCCAGACCTTGGTCCTGGCTTAATGTGGGCCAAAATGTATATGTTTAACCTGAGGGAAGGCACGTTATTAAATCCATAGGGAGCATTCATAATCCTGCACTTCATTTATTGGCTTTAATGAAAATAAAATGCAGTGGGTTTTTTCTGTTCATTTTGCTTTTTCTTCTGAAGCCTGAGCCCCCACCATCCCAGCAAAATCTGTGCACATTTCTGATTTGGAGCAACACCTTCTTACATACCAATATTCCCATTTACCCACACAAAAAAAGGACAGGGGCAAACCAGGTGATGTGTCAGTCTTTACTGTCTGGGTTCAGGAATTTGCAGCTACATTCACGGGGTTGGATAGCAGGCACTCTACGGGAGGGGAGCAACGCTCCCTATTACTTATATAAATATGCATAGATTATTCAAAAGACCTATAGATAGTCCTCGACTTCTGACCATTCGTTTAGCGGCCGCTCAAAGTTATGATGGCGCCAAAAAAGTGACTTGCGACCTGTCCTCATGCTTATGACTGTCGCAGCGTCCCCATGGTCACATGTTCAAAATTCAGGCGCTTGGCAACTGGCATGTATTTATGTTGGCTGCAGCGTCCCGGGGTTACATGATCACCATGTGTGACCTTCCCAGCTGGCTTCCGACACGCAAAATCAATACGGGAAGCTAGATTCACTTAACGACCACAGCAAAAAATGTCATAAAATTGAGCACGTCTCACTTAATGACTGCACTGCTTAGCGACAGAAGTTCCAGTCCCAATTGTGGTCGTAAGTCGAGGACTACCTGTACAGTGTTTGGGGGTCAGGAGGCTGAGAGGGCCCTGCCAAAGAGAAATTCACGTGCAATACTTCAGCATTCCCTCCCTGCTACCTTCTCCACTCACACGATTCATTATCCTTTGCCTAAACCGACGTTTTGCAACATGCAATGATTGCCTTGCAGAATGGGGGAGTCCTTTGTGCCAAGCTGAGGCTCTTCCACAACTGTCCACCAAACATCTCCTGAGGTTTTAAAACTGGGCACCCCACGACTCTTAACTGGGTGCCATTAAGGGTCTGTTGTGTGAATCTGCCACAGCAGTTCGTGCTGGGGGAAGAAGATTTAACCCCAAACTGGACCGAGGCAACTGGAGTCAAACCCCTTTCTCCAGTCAGCCCTACTGCATCTCCCCCCACCCCCACCCCAGCCACCTATAAGGCCGTCCTCTAACTCTGTGCTGTCTTCCAAGGAAACGAGGAGCATGCAGAGGAGGAAAGGGCCACATGCTCCTTTACTAAACGCCCTGCCAAGAACACAAAACACATTCCCCAAATGCTGACTTGCTCTAACGCTCAATCCGTGCCAACGCTGCCTTTCTTGGCTGGAGGACCAGAGGCGGGGGTAGCTGGCGGGGGGGGGGCAGGGAGGGGTCAAAAAAATCAGGATGGCGGCTGCAACCATGCGATCCAAGTCGCCATCCTTTTTTTTAAAAAAAAACCCTGTTCCCGAAAATGATGACCCTTCGCCTATCTAGCAGCGTTTGGCAGTGCCACGCCAGAAGGAAGAAGCTGTGATGAGATGAATGGCTGACCGGGTGAAGTCTGGGGTGACTGGGTTAAGCCCAGGGCCAGCTTTAGCGCTAGACCGTCTCTCCAGAGACCCCCACAGGAAACAAGGTCTTTGCCGAAATGGGAGAGAAATCCGAGGTTCGCCCACAGATGCGCTACTGAACTTAGATGGCTAAGATGGCAGAAGCTGGGCAGCGGCAGACCAGGGGAGTGAATATTAACCCTGAAGCTCCCCTGGGTATCCAGTGTTCAAGGACTTCCCCATACAAGCGTTCCACACACACACACCCCAACACACACACACCCCAGTACTGCAACTTAAGCCCTGCCGTCTTCCAGCCTCACGCTCCAAAAATAAAAGAGAAAAGGACGGGCCCCCCCCCCCCACTTTGCAATCCAAGGCTTTCTCTCCCAGCCCCCCTCCCACCACCGAAAAATAAAACTCCCTTCCGAACAGCAGCATATGACAAAGTCACGCGGGAAAGATGTCCAAGGAAGCAGCTTGGAAAGGAAGGGCTGAGCCACAGAAGCAGTTGCAGGGGGCAGGAGGGCGCGGGCCGTGCCATGCCGCCCACCGGGGCCTAGGCCCAGGTCCCCTCGTCAGCCATGCCGGGCTCCACTGAGCCCCCGGGAGCTTCCACAAAGGAGGAGAAGGCGTCGTGGAAGGCTGCCCAGCCCCGGTGCTCGGACGGGCATGTGGCTGGGCTGTCCTTCGAAGGGGCGCTTCCTGCCGGAGCCTTGTTGGCTCCCAAAGCTTTGTAGCTGAGGGGAGTGGGGATTCTGGAGGGGGTCTTGTCGGGCTGGGAGTCAGCACGAGGCTTAATCTGAGGGTGCAGCTTCAGCTTGTAGATGGAAGGCACGCGGTCGGGTTTCTTGAGGGACTTGGGCCGGAGCACGACTTCCTCCGCGAGGGGGACCGCGGGGGAGGTTCCGAGGGTCTCCGGGCCGTCCCGGAGGGAGGGCCCCAGCTCTGTAGTGGCCCAGGGGCTGTCCGCAAGAGGCTCAGGAAGCTCCAGGCCCTCCTGGACCTCCTGAAGGTCATTCAGGCCCATGTAGCAGTTGCTTTCGTCGGAAGAGCTTGACAGGGCGGGTTTCCTCCAGCGGTTCGTTCGCTCGAGCGGCCCAGCTAAGTCCCAATGCTCGGAAGCATCCGCGGAGCCATTACGGAAGTCCACCAGCCCGGGCCCTGTCTCGGAGACCCCGGTCATTTGGGGGGCTAACCTCCGCTTGGGCTCCTCTTTGGTCTCAGCTTGGAGGCCGTATTTGCTGAAGAAGTTGAGGGAGGAAGAGGACGAGCTGGAGGAGCAGTACGCAGAGTCGGCGGTCCCCTGGTCTGGGTTCATGTGCACGAGCCGTGGGCCATCGCAGGCCTGGCTCCCCGGTCCCAGCTCCTCATCCTCCTCTAAACCCATCATCTGGGAGTTGGCCAGGAATTCTTCTTCCAGACGCCGGAAGAGCTGCTGCTCCTGGCTCGGGTCGAGCTGCAGCGGGGTCCGGAACGTGTGCGCCATCGTCTCCAACTCCTGCCCCAGAGTGTCATCGGGCTGTCTGGCGGGCCAGCTCTCCCCCGGCTGGGGCTGCCTCGTGGCCCCACGTGGTCCAGCTGAGCAGGGCTGTCGCTGTCGCTGTCGCCCAGGGGCTGGCGGAGGGATTCGGGCGGAGGGGTGGGCCACTTTCGTGGCGGGGAGGGAACTCCTGCGCTTGGCGAGGGCAGGGCTTCGGGAACCCACCGGGGTCACGTGACCCCTTGCCGGGCTCTTGGTCCTTGCGGTGGCTCTGCCAGAGCCCCCGAGGTTCTCCTTGGGCTCCTCTGCCCGCGCCCAGGAGTGCTGCCCGTCCTTCGCTCGGCTGATGAGCAGCACAGGCTCCCCTCCAGGCCTCCCATGGCTGCGGGCCCGGGGCCGAGGGCTCTGCACCCTGGGCTTGCTCGGCCGGCCCGTCGTCCGGGGCCGGCCCCGTTCTTCTGACTCGATCCTCCTGGGGGCCGCGACCGGCCTCGGGCAGCGCAGCCCATCCCCCGGCATCGCTCGGGCCTGCCGCCGCCCCGGCTGGGGCCGCGCGCGGGGGGGTGGGGTGGGTGCGGGCGGGCTG